AAGAAAATGACTACAAATGTTAAAGAAATAATTATAAAAGTGTATTGTTGGGTTTATAACATTAATAGGTATAATATGTATAAATAATACCATGAGGAGGGAAATGAATATATACAGTATTAATCCTTATGTATATTGCTGGAATCAAGCTTGTACAAATCTGAAGCTGATTCCAATAAATTAAGATGTATATGTTAGACCCCAGAACAATCACTAAAAATACATTATAAAACATTCACTTAATGAATAAAAGAAAGCAGTAAAGTAGGAAGAAAAGGAACAAATAGATATGAGATGTATATCAACAAAAAGCAGCATGGAATGATAGCTGTAACCCCCACTATATTATTAACAATAAATGTAAATGGTTTAAAAAATGCAATAAAAAGATGGGCTAGATTTAAAAATTCTTACTATATCTAATTTTTTAAAGTCTGATTTCCATTTTATTATTTTTTCCCCCAGAAAATGGTTTTTCTTCAGTTCATTGGACCCAGTTCCTTTCATAGGTTTTGGTGGAAATTATAGGGCAGCACCAGCAGGTCTAAACACATGTGTGGGGGTGAGGGAGTTCAGTCTTTACAGGGTTCATGAGATCAGTTTCTAAACCACCTTGCTATGATTGGCACAACTCACATAGTAAGGCAACTTCACATAGAGCTTGGGAAGCATATCGAAGACACTTGCTTGGGAAATGTCCCTGACTATGTTTTGAATGATGGACTCTTAATAGCCTTTCCCTTGGGAACATACCAGGTGCAGTTCATACAGTGAATAGGCTACATATGGTCATGGCCCTTTGGTCCTTTTTGGCATGGCCACTGTTCCTTCTTCTTCTTCTTCTTTTTTGTTTATTGTCTTGGAAGGAAAAACCCAACTAACTATATGTTATTTATAGGAGAGACACTATAAATTCAAAGGTATAAATAAATTAAGAGTAAAAGGATGGAAAAAAACAAATTATACAAAGAGAAACCACAAGAAAGGTGGAGTTGCTAGGTTAATATCAGGCAGAAATATTATGTGAATGAACATATATAAACAATGAACAATGAAATATTCATCTAGCCATTTCTTGTATATCAGATCCTGGAAATATAACAGTAAAGACAAAATTCCTGCTTCGTGAAGAAATATCCTTTAAAGGATAAAACAGACAATAAATAGATATATAATATAAAATAAGTACTGTCTTAGTCTGTTTCCTGTTGCTATAGCACAATACCTGAGGCTGATGGATTTATAGAATAAAGATTTATTTTGGCTCACAGTTTTGGAGGTTGGGAAGTAGAAGAATATGATGTCGACATCTGCTCTGATTCTGGTGAGGGCCTCATGCTGTGTCATAACATGGAGGAAAAACAAAAGGGCAAGTGTGTATGTGAGGAAGAGACACAACACGAGGGGCTGCCTTGCTTTATAATAACCTACTATCATGAGAATGATCCCATTTCCTCAAGAAAAGCATAATCTCTCTTAATGGTCCCATCTCCCAATATCATCAAAATGGCAACCAAATTTCAATCTGAGTTTCCCAGTGGTCAAATAATACTCAAACCAGAGCAGGTGTTATCAAGGAAAAAAAAAAACCAAAAAACCTCTTGAGGTTTTTGTTACAGAGTAGTTGTTTAAGGACTCTCTGAGATCACATTGGAATGGATATCTGAACAAATTGGGAGAATAAGCCATGAAATACTTGCGAAAGGAACATTCTAAGTAGAAGCAATGATAGATTTAAGAGTTCAGGATAGGGCTGGGGTTGTAGCTCAGTGGTACAGTGCTTGCCTAGCACGTGTGAGACACTGGATTCGATCCTCAGCATCACACATAAATAAACAAAATAAAGATATTGTGTTCATCTAAGACTAAAAAAAAATTAGAAAATTAAAAAAAAAGAGTTAGGGTATGTGCTGGTCTGGATGAATAGTAAGAAGTATGAAATGAGGAAGGGAGACGAGGCCAGAGAGTACAAAAGGTCATAAATCCAGGGAAGGATTTTGGGTTTTATTATAAATATGATAGGAAGTCACTACTAAAAAGCTGAGACAAAAGCTTGACTTATGTTTTATAACAATTATTCTAACTGCTATCTGACAAATAAAGTTGGGGGTGGGTGAAGAAAAGCCAAAGAGGTCAGTTAGGAAACTGATACAGTTGTTCAAGATAGAGAAAAAATACACTGGTTTGAACTAGGATAGATGCAGTGGAGTTAAGTGGTCCGAGTTCTGAACGCATTTTAAAGGTAGATAAATTACATAAGTGGTATGAGAGAAAAGAATCAAGATTGTGATAAGATTTTTGGATACGAGCTAAATGGATAAATAGTAGTTTCATGTACTTAGAAGAGGAATATTGGGGAGGAATGAATTTGAGGTGAGTATAATGAGATTAGACTGGCTTTGTTAACATATGAGAGGTTGATTTGATACTTTAATGGAAATGTATAAAAGGTAGTTGGATATATGAGTCTGTATTGAAGGGAAAGGTAGGGTTATTGTACTTAATACTCCAAAACATTGTCAGATAAATATAATTTTCTATTTTTACAGAGGAGGAAACCAAAACAAGGAACATATGTGATTTGCCTAATAGCACCAACTATAGGAGCAAAGCCTGGAATCACGGTTTGAATAAATCCATTTGACTCTGAAGCTGAGATTCTTCCATGATAACTTCTCATTCACACGCACATACATACACACACACACACACACACACACACATACACACACACCTTTTATCTTAATCCAAAATTTAAAGGTAGTTTGGCTTCTCTCTCTGATTTGTGCCCTGTTGTTAATTTATTTATTTATTTTTAGAGAAAGAGAGAGAGAGAGAGAGAGAGAGAGAGAGAGAGAGAGAGAGAGAGAATTTTTATATATATTTTTAGTTTTCAGCAGACACAACATCTTTGTTGGTATGTGGTGCTGAGGATTGAACCCGGGCCGCATGCATGCCAGGTGAGCGCGCTACCGCTTGAGCCACATCCCCAGCCCCCCTGTTGTTAATTTATAAGGATGACCCACTGGCCACATGGAGAGGTCAATGACAGTGAAACAAAAGTTTAATCTGACTCATAAATCCTCTAGAACCAGAAAGCATGCTGTGCCAGGCAGCAGTTTGGTGGAAAGGAACAAAGGGAAGGCCTAGGCTGTGAAGCCAAGATTCTCAAGACGAAGGGATCTCTATTACAAAAACAAAAAAAGTTTATCAAGGCAAAGAAAAGTACTTTTCTGGACTGTGTGGGGTTAACAATCTGGGAAGTTCATACACAAACAGGGTACAGTGGCTGGCCATGATGGGATTTGAGTCAAGGTTTTAAAATAAACAGTCTTTTGATAACTGATTACTTTCCATTATTTCCTTCCCCCTCCATCCCCTGGCCCTTATAATTAAATTAGGGCAACCCCCAATTTTTCTTTCATCAGGCCACAGCCTTTCTTGGAGCTTCTGCAGGAAAAGCCAGGCAGGACAAACAGTTAAGGACTAGCTAATTTGAATAATTCTAGGTAGGCCCTGGGAGGCATCAGGGAGGGCTGTCCCTAATTGTCCAGTATCTGGTCCTAGATTGATTTAGGGAAGGGACAATACGGGCTTGATGGGTGAGCCTGGAAAAGGAAGTGTTGGGGAGTATGGACTCTGGTCCTTTGTTAGCTAACCTTGGAAAGGGCAGTTTCTTCCTCACCAGGTAGGACCTCAAAATGTCAAAACATCTTAGAGAATAAAAACATGATTAACACATCCTTCCAATCTAAATTTGAAGACTCAATCATTACAAATCCCTGACTCCAGATTCCTTGTAGATAAGAATAGTATAAGAAGCCAAATTATAAGTTCTATTAAAACAGAATGCAAAAAATTAAAAGATTAACAGGTGACCAAAACAATGGGACAAACTGAATTTATTAATGTTATAAAATAATAATTACCTATTGTTAATAAAACTTAGAAAAATTGGAAAGGATATACAAATCAAACAGATAAATCAGAACTTTATCTCAAAAATCACCCAGTCCAGGTAAATTTGTGTACTGAGAAACATTAGGAAAAAAGCAAGATACTAAACTGATTTAAAACAACTTGTCTCTCACCAATCCAGAAAATGTTACCTTTACAACTTGATCTGAAATTTTGCACATAAAATTTTGAATAGATTTCCTGGCTGTCTTTGTATTCAATATCACTCTCTTCCCAGACATTTTGGGAGAATAAGAAATATGTTGTACAATCCACAGGCTTAGATTCCACTATTCTATTCCATCTAGCCTGGGAAGATTCCATCTTTCTTCACCTAAGTTTGGCTCGAAGAATATCCTTTGTTTCACTCCCAAGTTTGGCTCCCATGTACAGCATCGCCCCAAACTGGGCACAGAAAACTGAAGACACTCCCTTTTTATCTCATGCAAATCTCGGACCAGAAAGAATCATCCAGCTCCATTCAGCTACCCAGACACGTACCGTTCTTCGCTCCTAATCCTTTCCCCAAATAGTTAAACTCGACTCGAAATGGAGACAGAGACAGGAAACCGAGTCTGAGCCCCTCCAATCCAACCCCGCTCCAAGCCTGAATCCGCTCTCCCGCCTCAAGCCTGAGCGTGGAGAACCTCCGCTGCAGCCCACCTGGTCCGGTCCCAGGGCCTGGGATCCCGCTGGTCCTGATACACTGGTGCCAGGCAGACCAGGCTGGGGCACAGCGGGACAGGATGCTCCTCAGATGCTGACCACTCTCGGAGCAGGGAGGCGGCCGCACACTGACAACTGGGGCGACGCACAAACCACGCACACAAACACACACCACTGATCCGCCTTAAGGGAGGTCAGCTATGCTTCCCGGCTGTCGGGAGGCGGCGCCCAGGGGTAAGAGGTCGCAGCTGGACTCGGCCACCCCCACGGACCTCACCTGGAGCGGCTCCACGGCGGCCCAGCTGCGGCTGCACAGCTTCGGCGCTTCCTGATTGGCTCATCGTGTATTCGCTTCCGGGTGAGAGGTTGCCCGGTTGCCCAAGCAACCGAGTCGCTCTGGGAGCTGTGTCGGCTAGCGCTTTGCTCCCTCCACACCGCAGAGCTGGCGGCCCAAGGGGAATCGCGGAGTCAAGAAAGTTTCTCCGACCTCTCTCCAGCAAGTGAGTGTCCTTCCTCCCAAGGCCCTGGCGGGGAAGGGCACCTGTAAATAGAACTTTTGGGAGCCAGAGCTCGGCCCTGTAACTCCCGACCGGGTGTGACAAATCTGTGTACACTGCGGTGTGTGTGTGTGGGGGGATTCTACATCGATTCAGCCCGAATTCCTCGTTGTGATTCCTTAGGCAAGAGCCAGCCTCTCTGGGCTTCAGTTTCCTTCATGGTGCCGGATGGTGTCGATCTTTGAGGTTCCATCCAGTTCCAACATTCCAAAGTTTCGAATGTGGAACTTTCTAAGGGCAATTGAAAATAGTTCCGTGTCTTTTACGATTGCATTTAGTGTTCTGCTTAGTAAACATTTAATGACCGCTTCCTAAGTGCCATTCATTCGCTAAATAGACCGTTCATATTAATACTAAACACTGAACTCAGGAGGGGGACAAAAAAGATTTGATTAACCCGCGAGTCCTGTCCCGAGGAGGTGGGTGTGATAGGGAATCCTGACACGAAAGCATTGTTTTAATAGAGCCCTAAGTACTGTGGGGGCTTCTTAAAAGAATCTGGGGGGAAAGAGAAACGAGAAGACTTTGAGACTGACAATTCTTGTGACAATTCTTGAATTGGTGCTACAGGATAACAATGGCTAATACCTACAGAGTTAGACACTAGCCTAGTGCTTTATGTGGTTTAGCTCATTTAATCTAAGGATGAGGAAATTGAGACATAACTAATTTGTCCAACTATAAAGGGGGAGTCCCATTCACCTACGTGGCCTAATGCCAGGGCATGCCCGAACCCCTAAATACTACACTCTTACTTTCCAACTCCTCCAGGATGAGTTAACCAGCCAAAGAAGAGATGTGTGTTGCAGGGAAAAAAGTACAGTATTGCTGCTGGAGCTTTTACAAGGACATCTGGTAGTCTAGATCATTAAACACAGAAAGCAATTCTGTATCTTGGAAATTTTGAAGACACATATCTGTTTACCTCTACAGCCAAATCAGAATGACTGGGGAAAAAATGAACAAATATAGTTAAATTTTTATTCTTCTAAGATTTAATGTAATTGATGTCTATATTTAACCCCAAACAAGGTCAGAATTTCAGCAAGATTGCGTTCTACTCCTCACAGCACTTCCATATTGTTATCAGAATTTTAATTATACTCTATTTTAAAAGTTATTCTTTAAAAAAATTTTTTTTGTAATTGTAGATGGACAGAATTCCTTTATTTTATTTTTATGTTGTGCTGAGAGTGGAACCCAGTGCCTCACACGTGCTAGGCAAGCGCTCTGCCACTGAGCTACAGCCCCAGCCCTTAAAAGTTATTCTTAATAATAAATTCCTAAACTGGGTGCAGAATGCCTGTAATCCCAGCAGCTCTGGAGGCTGAGACAGGATTACAAGTTCAAAGCCAGCCTCATCAACTTGGCAAGGCCCTATGTAACTCACTGTGACCGTGTCTCTAAATTAAATACAAAAAAGGATGGGGGTGACAAATACGGTGGAATGTGACAGACATCATTACCCTAGGTACATTGTATGATCGCAGGAATGGTGTGACCTTACTTTGGGTACAACCAAAGAAGTCCAAAATTGTGCTCCAGTTGTGTTCAATAATCGAAGAGCATTCTGTAATGTATAACTGATTAGAATAAATAAATAAATAAATACCCAAAGTAGGGACACAGGAATGGTGTGACCCTACTTTGGGTACAATCAGAGAAGTCCAAAATTGTGCTCCAATTGTGTTGGATAATCGAAGAGCATTCTGTAATGTATAACTGATTAGAATAAACAAACAAATAAATAAATAAAATAAAAAAGGACTGGGGATGTGGGTCAGAGGTTAAACGCCCCCTAGGTTCAATCCCTGGTTGTTAATAATAATAAAATTCCTAATGACATAAAATAATATTACTTAACAGAAAGTATTTTTTCTCAAAAATAAAATAAAAATGCATTTTTACTAATTCCTTTGTTCCTCATTTTGTTTTTGTTTTCTTATTTTCTCCTGGATTCATTTTTCTCCTTATTAGAGTTTATTTCCTTGTATTTCTCAAAGACAAAGTGTGTGTACTAAGTTCTGAATTCTGCCACGTCCAAAAAATAGTTTAGTTTCCATCACTTTGCACTGATATTTTTGCTGAGGGTAGAGCATTGGGTTCAAATAATTTCCCCCCTCAAAGATTTAAATACATCTCATTTTTGTTTTTAATGTCCACTATTGCTGATGTCAGTCTGATTCTTATTCTTTTTACTTTGTTATAGGTAATCTGTTTTTTGTTTGCCTAATTGGCATTTGTCTCTATGTTGTTAAATTTTACTTCAAATTGTCTACCTGTGCAGTTTACTTAGTATTCATTTACAGTCTAAACACTCATTTTCTTCAGGTCTAACAAGTTTTTGACTATTCAAATATTGTGTCCTCCCCTTATTCTTTCCCCCTAGAAATTTTATTAAACTGGCATTAAGTATTTTGGATCTATTTTCCATTATCTTAGAATTTTTCTTTGTGCTACTTTCTGTGAAAATTTTCAACCTAATCTACCAGTTCCCTAATTTACTTTTCAATTAAATCCACTCTATTATCCAATCCTTCTTAAAGTTTTATTTCACCAGTTTTATTATTAAGTTCCTTGCTAATTGATTCTTTTTTTTTAATTCTATTTTTTTTAACTTTTATTTGTTTTAATTAGTTACACATGACAGTACAATAATCTTGACATATCCTACATTTGAATCAGATGATTGCTAATTGATTCTTAACTGTCTGTTCCTCTTTCTCTCTGAGGATGTTACAGTATTTTAAAGTCTTAAACCTATTGTGCTATTAACTCTGAGATGAGCCTCCAACCTTTCTCAGTTGGCACTTAAGTTAACTTTTAAATTAAAACTATCTATTCCCTTACCCTATGCAGAGATTCAGTAGATGTGAGGTGGCGCCTAGGAACTTAGTGATATTCAAGCCGATTCTTATGCATAGGCCACACTTTGACTAACATCTTAATAGAGTCTACTGTCCAAGAAGTTAGAGTTCACTTATTCTCTATATATTTTCTTCAGTTTTGGAAAAAAATATATTTTTTTTTTACATTTTGCATTTAGTGTACTAAGTGTTCCAGGGTTCAGAGACAGAGATTCCCCTCAGTCTTGTGGTCTTGTTTTTTTCCTTTTTTAAACCTGGTCTCCATTCCAGACTCACTCTACTTAGACTTCCCTCCTTCCCCACTTATTATATTTTATATTTCCTCCTATTTCCTAATCAAATATTCCTCACCATCTTACCTCTGTTGAACATAAATTTGTACATCAATGTTATAGCAGCATTATTCTTAACAGCCTCAAACTAGAAACAACTTAAATGTACATCAAGTAATGAATTCACTATTTCTATACAATATATTTGGTAATAAGAAGGAACAGAGAATGAAGTTTTGATACTTGGTACAAACTGATGAAACTTGAAAACATGTTAAGTGAAAGAAGCCAATCACAAAGGACCATTTATTGAATCCATTTCTAAGAAATAAATAGGCAAATCTATTGAGATAGAAAGTAGATTAGTGGGTAATGGGGAATGGAGTTTTGAGGGGGATGGTGAGTGAGTACTGATGGGCACAGGATTTTTTTGGGGGGTAATTAAAATATTCTAAAATTAGATTGTGGTGATAGTTGCACAACTCTATATACTCAATATACTAAAATATTGAATTATATACTTTAAAGGATTAATTTGTGATATGTAAATTACACATTAATAAAGTTGTTATATTAAATGATCACTCATCTAGTCAAAATTATTTATTTCCCCAAAACCCTACATTAAACATGAAACTACCAAGTAATATAGTTGTGTTATTGTGATTTGAGTCTATTTAGGTAGTGCTTAACCCTCACTTATAGGTCTTATGACACAAAATATTTAAACTTATATGACTCTTTTTAAATCTTTTAAAGCAACTTCAGAAGTGTACAAGATAAATTTTATATTTCCTAATGGAGACAAGTATGGTAAGCATACATTTCAATTATTTTTCCTCTGCAGAATATTAAATAACCTAAGAATAAAAAAAATGAGACTCACATTTTATGAAACTGCTATTGGGATATTATTTCAAGTAAAATAACAGAAATCCTAATAGATGAACAGATTTAAAATCAAAATTCCAACATTATATCTAGATCGTATGCCTTGGAAATTTATAGAATCTGCCAGTCTTTTTGGTCCTGGGTCTCAGTGGTTACAAGATGTTCTGAGTTCATATATTGTCTTATCTCTGCTGTCATTGATTTCAATGCTGGGAAGCCAAAAAAAAAAAAAAAAAAAAGCAAACAACACAAAACACCCCCTCTGCAAAAAAAGAAAAGAAACAAAACAAAACAAAACAAAAAAACTCATGGCTTTTCCCCAGACATTAATACTATATTTTTTTTAGTCAAACACAAGTCCTATTTAAAAATCTTTAGTATTTCTCCCTTGTTTAGATGGTGAATGTATAAGAACATCTTCTGGAATTTATGAGAGAAATGGAGTAGGTATTCATACCACTCCTAATGGGATTGTCTACACAGGAAACTGGAAAGATGACAAGGTATTATTGTTGTTTGGAGGTTTTTTGTTGTTTGTTGACATTGACCCCAGACCCTCACACATGCCAGGAAAGCACTGAGCTACATTCCCAAGACATTTTATTTTTTATTTTGAGACAGGATATCACTAAATTGCTCAGGCTGGCCTCCAATTTAGGATCTTCCTGCCTCAGCCTCCCAAGTATCTGGGATTACAAGTGTTAGCCACTATGCCCAGTTTATTGTTGTTTTTTTCTTTCTATTTGTTATTTATTTATTCTAATTAGGTATATATGATAGCAGAATGCATTTCAATTCATTGTACACAAATGGAGCACAACTTTTCATTTCTCTGGTAGTATACGATGTAGAGTCACATACATACAGTCATATATGTACCTAGGGTAATGATGTCCATCTCATTCCACCATCTTTCCTGCCCCCATACCCCCTCCCCTCCCCTCTCACCCCTTGCCCAAAGTTCCTCCATTCTTCCCATGCTCTGTCCCCATTATGAATCAGCATCCACTTATCAGAGAGAATATTCAGCCTTTGGTTTTTTAGGATTAGTTTACTTTGCTTAACATGATATTCTTCAACTCCATCCATTTACCTGCAAATGCCATAATTTTATTCTCTTTTAATGCTGAGTAATATTCCATTGTGTATATACACCAACAGTTGCTTTATCCGTTCATCTATTGAAGGATATCTAGGTTGGTTCCACAGTTTAGCTATTGTAATTTGAGCTGCTATGAACATTTTTGTGGCTTTTCAATATAGAATGCTGATTTTAAGTCCTTTATGTAAAGACCAAAGATTAGGAACTTACACATTCCCACTGGGGCAAAGTACACTGGAAATTTCAATGAAAATAGGTAAGCTTAAATTTAAGGGTCAAATGGTGGTTCCCTTCCAAGTTTTCTAAGGAATCTCCATACTGCTTTTTAGAGTGGTTGCACCAATTTGCAGTGCTACCAACAATGTATGTTTTCCCCCACATCCTCACCAACACTTGTTATTGCTGTATTCTTGATAATTGCCATTCTGACTGGAGTGAGATTTGCATTTCTCTAATTACTAGAAGTTGAACATTTTTTTCATATACTTATTGATCTATTATTGTTTTTAATACTGATTGTAAATGAATAACCCTATAGGCTAGATGATTCCATACATTTTACCATTAATAAAAAATATATATAATGAGTAGACCAAACAATAAAAATAATAAATAATTATATTTAACATACGTTAACATATGCCTAATATTAAACTCATGTAGAGGGCTAATCGTGTATCTTTCTCATCTCTTTGTTTGTAAAGTAAAGTAAAACCCATTAATAATTTTCTCACTTAATCCTAAAAACAATCTCATGAGATAGATGCCATTAACACTCTTATTTTGAATGAGGGAAATCAGACTCAGATTTCTTGCCCAGCTAGTAAGTGATAAAACAAGAATGTGTACTCAGGTTTACTTGAATCCAAATTCACATTCTATATGGCTCTCTACTATTGCCTGAACTAGTGATACTATACTATTCCTGAGCTAATTAAACTTGAAGATTTTTGATGTATTTAATATATCTTGAGGATCCTAATAAATCATCATGGACTCCCATGTGTTCAAATGACTCAGTATGAGAACATTTGATTCTGTAGGCTTCACAGACAGATACAGAGGAAGGACAAATAAATTTGTCCTTTTTTTTCCCCCAGGACTAGGGATTGAACCCAGGACACACTACCACTGAGCTACATACCAGCCCTTCTTATTTTTTATTTTAAGACAGAGTCTCACTAGATTGCCTAGGTTGGTATTGAACATGTGATCCTCCTGCCTTGGCCTCCCAAGTTGCTGGGAGTATAGGCATGCCCCATCACACCTGGCAAATTTGTTTCTTTTTGTGGAAATAAAGGGTGACACGAAATCATGACTTAATGTTAGATTTATATGTATATATATATTTTAAAGGCTCTGGGGAAACTGAAGTTTTTGTTTCTGAGGGAATTTTCTTTGTTACAAACAGATGAATGGTTTTGGAAAACTTGAGCATTTTTCAGGAGCAGTATATGAAGGACAATTTAAGGACAATATGTTTCATGGATTAGGAACTTACACATTCCCAACTGGGGCAAAGTACACTGGAAATTTCAATGAAAATAGGTAAGCTTAAATTTAAAAATTACTATAATTAAAAAATAATCTTTGCTTGCTTAAATATTATATTTAGTTAATGCTAAATATACTTTGATAATGTATTTAGTTTTAAGATTTGTTATTTTAGAGGATTGGGAGTGTTTTAAGAGAGGCTAGGACCATCATAAGCTTCAAAAAGAGAATATCATTTTTAGTGATAATTCATTAGACTATTCGTTTATCCCCTTTACTTCTCTATTAGTATAGAATTTTTTGTAGTCAATTTGCAGATAGAAAACTTATTGCAATTATTAAGAAAATTTAGGCCAATAATAATTTTCACTTGAAATATCTTGATGTATTTTTAAAGTAGTCTTGGGGGTAATTTCATAATTATTTATTCCATTTTGACCTGACATATGCATACCTTTTGAGTAGGCTAATTTTGTTTTTCCCTGCAATCCTGGTTATTGAACCCAGGGAGGGCCTCGTGTATGCTAGGCAAGTGTTCTACCACTATGCTACATCCCTAATCTTATTAGGCTAATTTTTAAAATCTGAGCAAAATTAGTTAATTTTCAATTTGTAGAAGCATACTCATTATTGCCCTTTCTGAGCATATGCTTATAGAAACATAAAAGTGAAATAAAACATGAATGAAGCTTTGCAAGCTTGACTACACACTGAATACCATGCCATGTTAGCTGGAGGTTCAAGTTCAAGTTCATTTATAAATACTACTATCTTATTTCTAAAATTTGAGGTGGTTGATATGAATACATTTTGAGGTGGGCTGACAAATGTTCACCTATTTTGACTTAATTTTGTGACAACAACAGATTACCTTTTCCAACTGATAAAAGGGAAAAAAATAAAAGGAGAAAAAAATCTAATCTGTAGGATAAAGCCTGTTTGTTTGTGTGAGTGCATTTTTACTACTCCAAAGTGCCCTAGAAAATACCAGTACAGTAGGGTATGGTGGCATACACCTGTAATCCCAGCAACTCAGAAGGCTAAGGCAAGAGGATCGGGGTTCAAAGCTAGCCTCACCAAAAGCAAGGCTGTAAGCAACTCAGTGAGACCCTGTCTCTAAATAAAATACAAAATAGGGCTAAGCATGTGGCTCAGTGGTTGAGTTCCCCTGAGTTCAATCTCCAGTACCCCTCACTCCAAAAACAAACAAAACAAAATAGCACAGAGCATATCACGTCAAACCTAGCTGATGATCAAGAAATATTTGTTAAATAAATATGTGAACTAATTAAGCCAGATAACCAATATAAATTTTTTCATGTTTTGATTGTTTTGGTTTTATATGAAGTGAGCTTATGTGATCCTAAAATCTTGGACATCAAAATTTTTATAATGACTGTGTTTGTTTGGGACACTGTTTTTTTTTTTTAAATACAATATGAAAGGAGAATTCTGCATTTTAAATCCAAATTTGAAAATGGAAAAATATGCTTCACACATAGGGTGTAATGTGCTAGACAGTCTGTAGATTCTTCATCTTGATTAACACACAAATTTCTTTTTCACTATTGCAGGGTTGAAGGTGAAGGGGAATATACCGATATCTATGGACTAGAATGGAGTGGTAACTTCCATTTCACAGCCGCTCCAGGCCTGAGACTAAAGTTCCAAATGTAGATGTTCTGCTCTGAAGTTTAAATGTGGCAATTGAAGCTTTTAGTTGTAAGCAGAGCAGCTAAATTTGTTATCTGAAATGACTTTATACACAACCTCCACAAAATTGCCAATAAAACTATCACTCACTTATGCCTTATTGAATTTTATTTTCATTATTTTATTTTCATTGAATACATTATGTGATTCAATTCAGAGTTTGCTTATTTTAATCCATACAGCAGAAATATTAATTTAACTATTAATTAAATAGTTAATTTTCCAATCCTGGATTTTGTCATCTTTTTTTTTCCCCTAGTTTGTGCTTTTATGTTTATTTTTGGAGAAAAAAATTTCCCTGCATTATCCTTTGTAAGTATGCAGATATTTGGTCCCTATTGAAATTTTTTATTGTTGTGATAATGCTTACATGAAGTCTACCCTCTTAACAAACATGTTGTGTACAACACATTATTACTGACTTCAGGTATAATATGGTATAATTCTCTATAGCTTATTCACCTTCTTTTTAAATACACATGAAACAAATTTTTAAACTATTTTTTTAGTTGTCAACGGACTTTAACTTTATTTATTTATATACGGTGCTGAGAATCAAACCCAGGGCCTCACACATGCTAGGCAAGTGATCTACTGCTGAGCCACAACCCCAGCCCTAATTTTAATATTTTGAGGAATCCCCATATTATTTCCCATAGTGGCTGCAACTTTTTATATTCCTACCCACAATGTGCAGAGTTTCCAATTTTTCCACATCCTCACTGACATTTATTGTCTGGTTTTGTTGTTTTTTTCTTTTTTAACATACTGGGACTGAGCCTAGGGGCACTCTACCACTGAGCTATTTCCCCAGTCTAAATTTTGATGCAGCTAAATTTGTTATCTGAAATGACTTCATACATAACCTCCACAAAATTGCCAATAAAACTATCACTCACTTATGCCTTTTTGAATTTTATTTTCATTATCATATAGTTTTGAATACATTATGTGATTCAATTCAGTTGCCCAAAGTGGCCTTGAACAAGCAATTCTCCTGTCTCAGTCTCATAGGTAACTGTTATAGGCATAGTTCACTGTTCCTGGTTTGTTGTCTTTTGTCTTTGAGAGTAGCTATCCTAACAGGCTCTGAGGCAGGAGGATCACAAGTCAAAACTAGCCTCAGCAACTTAGTGAGACCCTGTCTCTAAATAAAATATAAAAAAGAGCTGGTGATGTGGCTTAGTTGTTAAGCATCCTGGGTTCAATACTGTTATTAAAAAAAATTTTCTTAGACCATTTTAAAATTGAGTTGTTAATTTTTTTACTTGAGTTGTTCAGAGTTCCTTATCAGATATTGGGTTTGTGAATATTTTCTCAATTCATAGGTTGCCTTTTCAATCTGTTGATTGTTTGCTTTGCTATACAGAAGATTTTTGTTTGATGTAGTACCACTTGTTCATTTTTTGTTTTTGTTGCCTATGATTTTGGTGTTATATGCATGAAATCATTGCTAAGATCAATGTCATAAAGATTTTCTATTGTGTTTGAGCATCACATTAAAAGGGTCATATACCATGATCATGGGATTTATCACTGGGAGGCAAATGTTAAGTAGTGGTTACACATGAACAGTGGGTCAGGGGTTTAAGAAAATACTTAGTACAGGGTAAATCAGTTAATCTATAACTCTGAGTGGCACCACAAGTTCTGACAAGATAGCTACTTCAGGACCCTTGCCTGATCTCAGCTCTATAAATTATCCCTTTTCAACAGGAGGAAGATAGATGGACTCAGGGGTTAAGAACCAGAGGATAACAAGGATATGTTTTCTCAGAAGGGCCTAACTGCTAAAAATCATCTTAAGACTCTGCACAAACAACACAGAGATACCCAGATCTAGGAAAGCAGGATGATTAAGACCGGAGCCCATGGACCATAAATTCTGTAAAACAAGTTCCAATTAGCACTTGCCAGCAGGGCCAGGATGACTGAGAGTTGCCCTTAGATTGTTAACATAGCTTTATGATATCATTGTAACTGTAGTTTTTCTTCCCTGGGTTTCAGTTAGATACCTACAGATAAAAGCATATGCAGTAGAGGTTTAGGAATGTAATCTGTCAATCCAGAGCCAAGAGGTGATACTTAAGCAAAATCTTCTAACAACTTCTCTACTCCAATAAAACTAAATCACAAAGAAGTGAATTGTAGATCTCTTTGAGACAACCCACTGTCTTCCTTGGGGATGGCTTTTATCTTAATAAACGTTGCTATACTTTCATTATGTTTTGTGTCTTGCTTGAAACCTCTTTCAAGAACACAAGAGACAAGAATGCTAATGCAATTCTCTGGTAACCAAGGATGATTCAACATGTGAAAATCAATCAATATGATAAACCATATTACAATACATTGGATAAAAAAATCACATGATTATCTCAATAAATGCAGAAAAAGCATTTTATGGAGTTCTATACCCTTTCATGATATAAATTCTCAACAAACTGGAAAACTATCTCAATATAATATAGGTTTTATATAAAAAACCCACAGCTAACATGATATTCAACAACTAAAAACTGGAAACATCTACTCTAAGATCTTGCCACTTCTATCTTTAAAAAGTGTATCTATTTGTTAAAGGACACTATCAATAAAGTGAAAATACCACAGAATGGTAGAACATGTTTGTAAATCATATATATGATTGTCATAAATTTGACATAGTCTAGGCGCTGTGACATATACCCATAATCCCAGTGGCTCAGGAGGCTGAGGCAGGAGCATCACAACTTCAAAGCCAGACTCAGCAATTTAATGAGACACTAAGCAACCTAGTAAGATCCTGTCTCAAAATAAAAAAATAAAAAAGGCTGAGGGTGTGGCTCAGTGGCTAAACACCACTGGGTTCAATGTCTGATACAAAAAAAAAAAAAATCAGTTTCTGCCTCAGCATTCATTTTTAGTCCTGACATGGGTTGGTTGAAACACAGCCATATCACATCCTTTTCTCTCTCTTTGTGATTTGTTATTTGTAGCTTACTTGCTCCTCATCCTACTGACCCCAAATCCAACACATCCCACAGCTGGTGGACCCAATAAAATCTGATCATCAACATGAATCACTTAAGTTTTCCTACTTCCCACGTTCTCTTTAAATGAGCCAGTCAACAACCACCAAGGTAAAGCCTAAGTGGTAACATGCACCTTAACAAAGGCATAGTCCCACAGGTCCTTTTTCCTCCCACTCCCCACCTGCTAGCCGGGTTCCCTGTCACCCCTGGGTTTCCCTAAACTCTCTGGGACCTGTTAGATAAGTTTCTTATTTTCATTTTGCCTCCTCATTGTGTTTCACCTGACTGACACACATAAATCTGAATTTCACTCTTTCAGTGTTCTCCTTGACGTTGTCCATTTTGGCTTATGGCCCCTCTTAACAGATGTCAGAACCAAATTAGAAAAAAATCATTACAATAAAATCATAACACTGATAATATTCTAGTCTCCAGGATATAATAAGAACTCTTAAAACTCCATAATAAAAAGACAACCCAGAGTTGGGGATGTCACTCAGTGGAAGAGTACTTAAAGTCTTGAGTTTGATTTCCCATTGTCACAAGGGGGCAAAATCACGACGTATGCAGTCGAGGGGAGAAATAAAGAATGTCCCATGCTTCTGCCCCTTTCAATGCTTTATTCACTCAAATTACTCAATACAATTCCACTCTATAGGTTCTTAATCAAGAAAACAACAATCCTTAATGCTAGGCACTGCAATAGACATAATCAATTCACAGCAAACAATTCTAGATTATTAATTAATTTATAGCAAACAATTCCAGATGAATTCTAAGCACCGCAAAACACACTTAATCATGACAGGCTAATGACAGACATTCCCTCTGCATGCTAAGTTCAAAAGTCTTAAGCCTTAGGCTTTATGTCCAGCAGATGCACACTCACTCAGACAGTGGTGACCAGGTCTGGAACCTGGCGTGGAGTGGATGACCGATTGAGGAGAGGGTGGTAGGGAGGAGTTGTGGCTCTCACCAAGGTCCAGATGAGGCGGTAGAGTTTGAGAGTGGTAAGGATCACGCAGAGGCTCAGGAAACAAAGATGGGATGTCAGGTCCTCATCAGGCTCTCCTGGTCAAGTGCATCCTTGTTTTGGCTGGCTGAATCCTTATTCATTTGCTCTATTATTTATACTCAATTTGGGGGCTTTTTGACCCCCCCCCTTTCAATCCTTATCAGCCCACTGAATTTCTCAGTGACATCATTTACCCTGGGGTCAGAAACAGCTGGTCTGGTGGTCTCCACCCTGATCTTCTTGTCTTTCCCTCTTACTAGGTGAGGACAGCCTGCCAGGGGCTTCACTCTGTTTATCAGGGTGAGGGGCAGTAACTTGTTTGCGGCCATACTGGAGGGCTCTGTGGGTGTGCCTGGTGAGATTGCAGGTTTCAAAGTGGAGTTTTTAAAATGGAGTTTCTTAGGCTCAGGCCTAAGACCATCCTCACACCCATCATTATCCCCACCTTCACTACACACACATACAAGTCAACCCAGTTAAAAAATGGGCAAAGGATTTGAATATACATTTCTTCAAAGATATATAAATGACCAATAAGTAAACAAAACAATGCTCATTATCATCACTCTTTAGAGAAATTCAAATAAAATCAGATGGCTACATTTTAAAAGCAAAACAAAACTGACTATGGCAATTGGAACCCTCAAGTATATCTTCGAGAATGTAAAATGGCGCAGCTACGGTGGACAGTTCTTTTTTACTTCCTCAAAAAGTTACTGTATGACTCAGCAATTCCTGGGTATATACCTAAGAGAATTGGTTTCTATGTGAATGTTCATAGCAACATTATTCATTGCTGTGGTCTGAATGTTTTTGTTCCTTCAAAATTCACATTGAAACCTAATAGCCTAATTCCCAGGGTATTAAGAGTTGAGGCCTTTAGGTGGTGATTAGATCATGAGGGCAGACTAATGACCTTACATACAAGATATAAGGGAACTTACTTGCTCCTTCTGCTCCTTCTTGCACCTTCTTCAAAGATGTAGCAAGAAGATGCCATCTTTGAAGAAGAGAGCAGTCCCTCACCAGATACTTTATACGCTGGCATCTTGATGTGGGACATCTCAGCTTCCAGAACTGTGAGCAATAAATTTCTGTTGTTTATAAATTATTGTAAGGCATTTTGTTGTAGCAGCTGAACAGACTAAGACATTCATAATAGCTCAAAACTGGACGGAGGCATAAAGAGTCATGGGGTTCCTTTGTGGGATGATGGAAATGTTCTAGAATTAGTGGTGAAAATCTTGTAAATATACTAAAAATTGCTGAATTGTTTACTTCAAGGGGTGAATTTTATGTATGGTATGTGAACTATATTTCTTAAAAAAGTAGGACTGTGTGTCATCACATATTCTATGACCAGAAAACTTCTTTATCTTTTAGATAAAAAATAATTTTAGGCCTGGGGTTGTGGGTCAGAGGTAGATCACTCACCAAGCATGTGTGAGGCACTGGGTTGGATCCTCAGCACCACATAATAATAAAATAAAGGTATTGTGTCCATCTACAACTAAAAAAAAACACTTAAAAATAATTTTAAAAGTATCACAAAGTTATACTGTACTCCATAAATATGTACAATTTTGAAAAATAATTTTGAATGAAAAAATTATAATTTGAAAAATTACACTGAAGATCTGTTTGCATTTAAACTTTATTCCAAACTTAATAAAAAAAATAGTGTTTGCATGCAATAGATAGCTTCTGTGTCATATTTCTTCATTCAAAATCTTGCAAATATTTACATTTCTTAATATATCATTGACAAAAATGATATTTTTATTTTTTACTGTACTAATGTAAATTTGGGTTAAGTGTCTTTTACAATGTTGGAATAAAAATCATTTTATTGGTTTCTCATAAAAGCTTAGTTTTTAATTTCAAAAGACTATAAGTGTTCAAAGATACATTTTTAAAAGTTGGACATTTTTGGATGTACTGTTTATCATTAGTCAGTATGGTTTTAGATGAAATATTATTATTGTACAAGAATTTACAAGGAGATAAATACTAGACAAGTTAAAATAACGTGAGAGGATGTTTTCCAGATTCAGGACATATAATACAAATTCAAAACTTCTGGAAAATAGTTTTCAGAAAAGCATCTACTTTGATACAAACTGAATTTTCCCTTATATTTTTCTTCAAATTATTTGAAGGAGCAAGATATATTTTTTACTCTTAATATCTTTAATTTGTATTGCTATATTATTAATTTTTCAGTGTACAAGTTTTCTGTTTTATAAGATACCAAAGTTATTCCTGTTAAATGGTTTTTTTCCTTTTACTCCGTGAAACTAAAGGTAGTTCAGTTATTTGATTAGTTGATGCTAGAACTTGACCTGGAGCTTATATAATTAGAAGAGACACTAGTTTTCCTCATTAAAAGCCTGTTAGCTTATGACAGTCTCGTTTCAGGGGAAGTCAAATCTCTCTACTGCTTCTTTTTATAACCTTTAAGTTAATTCAGAATTCAGATCAGCCTTGATCTGAGGATGCTATAACCACAGCAAGCAACATGGGGTAAGTGGATGCTTTTATGTACTTTAAGAGGCATTGGAAGGGAAATTATTTTTATAAGAAAAACCTATCCATCCCTACCATATGGTGTTGTAATTTAATTTCAAAATAGACTAACATTTATTTAAGGCACTTTAGCAAATGAAAAACTAAATTAAACTTTTTATTCAACAGTTATAATTATTTGTAAAACATTCATTCATTTCCTCGCCTAATTTTTATATTATGTCTTAATCTACCTTTGCATGTTATCAACTAATAATATATTTTGGGGATTGAAGTTGTTCTGCATATTTACAAATTTAGTAAAAGTTGAGTTACAATTTCAGAGCAACCTTAAAGAAAGAATGACTTACAAGGCAGCATAATTCCAACATGTACATGCCTCTTTGGGAATAAAAATAATTAAAGAGTGAAAAAGATTAAGGATGGTGGGAGATTGGTTTATACTTTCGTAACAAAGAAATAGGATACTGGATTCTGTTAGAATTCATTCCTCTATGTTCAGAAAAAAAAGTATGGTGATTGAAAATGTGTGCAGATTAATTACACAGGGGCATTTATTTGTGAAACACTTCATTGGGTTTTGGGGACATGATGAGAAGAGTTGGGTTTCACTTAAGGGCTTTCTATTCTTAAGTGAGAAGAGGGTTCTGTTAAAATTAATATGAG